AAAAAGCATTTCTAAATGAAAATAATCATAAAATAATTATTTATTTTATTTAAAAAAAACCCTTAATTTTATCTCAATTTTTAATAGATAAAAAAATTCAATAATTAATGTTTTCTATGAGTAAAAATTTAAAAAGTATTCTAATGAGCTGAATTTTCAATTATAACATCTAAATAAGTAAAATTTTATTAAGATTTATTAAAAGAAAAATCAGTTTTGTATTATATTTAGAACGTAGACACTATCTACGACTATATTCAACATCAATAGATGTTTTTATCAAATTTCCAAATCTCTGGATATCCTATGATACTTGGCCTAACTATGTTTATGCGGTTCCAATGCTGTCAGCTTTTAAAATATGATCAAATCGGATTTAAGAATAGGGCCTAAATCTATTTTGAGTTTGACAGGTGGAGGATGTCTGCCTACTTTGAGATTATAATTTAAGCGAAGAGAACTTTCAAGAAGATCAAAACCGAAGAGAGAAGGAAAAAATATATATAAAGCGTTATATTTTTAACAAATATTTTCTAACGTCAAATTAATTTATCATTAATTATAAATCTTACAGGCCTAATTAGTAAATAACTATTACAAAATATCTAAGTGATTTTTACTCGAAAAAAAAGTTCTTTTCGATACCACAAATTAGGAATTATTATTTAAAGCCTGGCTCTTATGTACTCTATACGGAAGAAAGACTTAATTTGGTTAACCTAAAATATAATTTTTTTTTTATTTTCTCCACCCACTAACTGAAAGAAAGAGATATAGACACGCTCCAATCGCCAGTCGTTCCTGTATGAACGGTAGTCTTTAATTTGCCCTCTTCATCATCATCACTGTCTGCTCCGCCGATCAACACGCGTGCATGGACTACTACAACATGATGGTCTACGGCTATGATTGATTATATAATACTCACTGTAGTCCAGAATCACTTACGACTGCTTACTAAGCTTTAAATGTTTCTACGATTTTTCAAAATAAATTATACATTTTTTTAATTAAGTCTGTTCGAACCCTTTCAAGAATTTTCTCCTCCCCGAAATAAAAAGGATAACATCGAGAGAAATTGAGAAAAAAATTTATGTTATTCTTTTTTATCAAATTATATTCGTGTTTATGTAAACAAAATTATAAATTTCTCTTCTGTAAATATTTTGATCAATGAATAGGTTAATTAATCAATAAATATAAACTCTCAGAATATAAATTAACTTAATAATAACTTTAAATCTAGTAAAATTTATATAAATAAACTATATTTAGGATCATTCATGGTAATAATGATTTTACAAATGATGTAAATTGTTTTTAAAGCAAGTGACTGTGATAAATTGTTTTCTGTTATATTAAAAAATAATAATAATATAATAAAATAGTATCATTTTTTATTAGAAATGTATAAACAATATTATTATTCTAGTATATTTCGAATAAAAAATAGTCTATTGAAAGGAGAAAAACTATAAACTAGCAATTTATAAGAAGCAATTTAGAGTTTAATATATATTATATGCAATATATATATGTGTATTTTAGAAGAATTTCTGTAATAATTTAACGAGAGACTGTACGAAAAAGAATATTTTTAATAAAGAATATCAAATGTTAAAAAAGAAAAAACCAGATGGGACTCAGCCCATATAACTTCACAGCAGGTGGGTGCAATGCCTTATGGTAAATGAGAGGTCTGGATCTCATTCGTTACGGATTATCCTATATCTTTTTCGTTTACTGCGTGCTGAAGTAGATAAAACTTGCAAAACCGCGAGTAATAAGCGTGAAGATAACTTTAAAAAAGTATATTATGAAATTCTTACGTTTCAAATAAATAAATAAATACAGTAATTTAAGAATTAGAAGCGTTTATATTTTAAAAAAATATTAGAATTTTCAGGAGTTAGAGTTGCTTCATGCTCGATACTTTATCCAATGAGGGGGTTAGATATCTGATTTTAATAATCAATGCACTTAGTCATTGGTAGGATTAAAACAGAAGAATCATGTTTTTCTCGATATTATTCTCTTCTAGATCATTTATTTACATAATTTCGGTTTAGTTTAAATTATTTTCATTACATAAATGTTAATTAAACAATAGGGATCAAAGATGTAAGCTAGATTAAATCATTTCCATTGATTTCAGTTTGAATATTTCAAGCAAATTAAATTTGCTAAGGACCGCTATATAAATTCAGAAAAGGCTTTTTAACGAAAATAAGTTTTCTCCTTAGAGGAAAGCAAGATGGCTGTCATCATAACGTCATCGTTTTGTATATTCGATGACGAATGCCCGAAGCATTTTTCTATAACCGCAAGATCGCTCCCACGTGCATCATCTCCTCCTGTTCTGTATTCCCTCCTTGGGTGAGTCCATAATAATGACTCAGAATTGTTCCACCCGTCGGTAAGGGGAAGGAGGTAGTTGGGCGGAATGGAATTTTTCCAGTAAATGGAGCGCCCGTGTAAGAAATCAAGGATTTTACAGCCGTTGCTTCTACTGGAATTAAAAATAATTTAATAGATTTAACTTGGCTCCATTTTAAAAATATTTTTCCCCTCCCTTAAGCTATTGTTATATATTAAAGCCGAAGATAGATACAACGTTTACAAATTTCCTACTTTACAATTGTTTCAGGCTATGGTGCCTGTATCAATCAGATACCGATACAGTTAAGAATTAGGAAATTCTACCAAAAAAATGTAATATATATCGTTACATATAATACCTATGGGTATTTATCATTGCCTTCTGTTTAAACGAATTAATATTCGATAAAAATTAATGTTTAAATTATAATTATGATAAGGCTCAACACTAGCTGTAGGCCTGCGCATCAATTGTACTATTTTATTTTTTTTATAGATTATATTCACTTAAAGAATATTATATTATATACTAATTAATACACAATAATATACTTTTTCTTATATCAAACAGTATAAAGTAATAAATTTTTTTATATCTAACTGTTTTATTAATTATATGCACTAAAATTTATAATTTTAACAATATTAAATTGATAAAAATTCTTTAAAAAAAACCTAGGTTCAGATAACGAAGATTTAATCCACTAAATAAATAAATAAAGAAAAAAAATCCTTTTTACAACTTCTTCGTAACATTATACTTTCATATTTTATTCTAAACTTCAACAGATTTCAGCTTAGACCTACATTTTGATTTTACAAAATCAATTTTATATAAAGATTTATAAAAGAAAAAAAAAGTTTGCCTAAAAATAATATAAAAGCCGGATATATGTCGGATGTAGTTAGGCATCTGATAAAAGGTAGATATAAAACTAGGATGCATTTCTATCCCCCAATATCGCTATCTGAATAGAGTTAATCGAACTTCCATTTCGTCACTCAACTCTGTTTCCTGTTTAGGACTCTGGTTACAAAATACTTTATTTACCTTCTGCACGCTACAGCGTCGTTTGCCTAATGGGCTGACGTATTTTGCGCGTGCACTGATGGAACCTTCTTTTTCAGACTCTACTTGTGTTATTTTTTTTCTCTCTCCCTATCTTCCCTGCTGCATATTGTTATGCCTAATATCTATAGTACACACGTGTTGCGAAACATAAAATATTCGGAGACAAAATCTAACTGGGAATAAAATGAAGATGTCTTTCTAATGAGATACAACATTAGAATAGACCTACATATTTTGTAGTCGACTGAATATATTTTTCGAATTTTTTTTTCTAATATCCGAAAAGTTATTTTGTAAAATGCTAAAAAAAGAATTAAATATGTTAATATTAAATAATTAAGGCATTTTAAAACGAATCTAAACGTGTTAAAATGCTTTAATATAGGCCTGGATGAAGTTGACTCGAAGCGATTACGTTAGTGAAAAAAATCTAAGTAGTGTAATGAAGCTAAAAATGGGTCTTTTAGTTTTATTATTCTAGACCAAGTTCTTTTTTTTTCTTTTCTCTTCTCTATTTTTTTATTAACTCAGATTCGAAACAAAAAGAATTCCGCTCGTTAAAATTAAGCATTTATTACTTGTCTACCCGTTTTAATAAACAATTAGACGTGGTCAGTTGTGCTTACTTCATTAATGAAACTTAAATTGTAAATAACTGATTCGCCATAGTAAATTAAAATTCCGTGACAGATGATTGCAAACAGTTCAACAATCTTTAATTATTCTTTCGAGTGAAACAAGAGAAACCTGTTTGATTTTCTAAGTTTTGGTTCGTTTCGGTTGTTTATTTTTATCGGCGTATCAAAAATATTTTTTCTTATTTCCTATATAAAAAGTACAAATTTACGCAATTAATTTATTAATTCGACGCTGTGTTAGTTCTGTAATTAAAAAAAACCCAATATTTTAGAATATTCCACATGTATAGAAGTTAGTCTGTAATTCGAACCTTAAACTGTTCGCAAGTAAAAGTTTTATGCATTTTAACATTCGTTTAAATTAAAATGACGCGATCGTCTATGTTAAATAAGCAATTGAAAATGTTTTTGTCATAAGTTTAAATAGGTCCTGCGTCTTGGTAGATTTTCTAAAGTTAAGATATTTGTGTGAGCAATTACTGTAGGTATCTTTCGACTATTGTGGATGTTACTCACGAAGGCGAAAAAGTCACGAATAAAACATGACTAGCTTCTGTTACCGTCACCCTAAGCAGGGCTAGTAGGTGACAATCGGGTGGGGAGGACTTTCTTTTCTGTGTCGTTCCATCGAAGCTTTCCTTTCTCCGACAGACGAGGTCATTGCTTCTCTTTCTCATCACCGGCCTCGTTTTGGCGGCAGAGAATCACGAATCCCCCTTCCCATCTCAGCTTGTGTCTCTCCTCCTGCGGGGGAGGCGGAAGAGGGATCCCGACCATAGGGGGGTTGGTGGCACACGCGCGCGCGCTATTCCACCCTCCTGATCTCCCCTTTTCACTATTGGCCATCTACCGTCACGTGGTGCCAACCGGCGGAAACTGGGCGGATTTCTCTATCAATCGGCGGACCTAGCGGAGCGACTTTGGTGTGTCTGCCGCGTCTGTCTCCCAAGGTCCCCCATCCAAGCTCGTCAGACAGACAGTAGCTGCGATGTGATGGCGTCGTTCTGAAAGTAGACGAACCACAGAGAAGTCACCTTGCGTCCTGCTATGGACGTTGCTGGCGGTGGCTGTGAGACTGGATTTATCAACAGTCAACCTTCCATGGCTGAATTTATGACCGCGCTGCCCCACATCAATGAAACGTTCCGCTCGACGCCATCAATCAACGGCGGCCTGGTGTCGGCGCCGTCCTCCATGTGCCAAGCCGATACGACTGGCGGTACGGCCAGAGGTCTGCCCGGTGCGGTGGCAACCGTACATTGCACACCTCAGCCAAGTTCGCCGTCGTCCAAACACCCAACAGGCGACATCGGTGGCGGAAATGTCCCGGAATATCCTTGGATGAAAGAGAAGAAGACGACCAGAAAACCACACCAAGGTAAGACTCCTTAAAAGAAGAGGGAGGGGACAGAAGCCATGTTTTATTCAGTTCGTTCCGGGTGTCAACCCTCTTGCATAGTCCCCTATGTAGGGTGTGAGGGAAAGAGGGAGTATAGACAGACGACAGAGGTAGGGCAAAGGGCCTACACTGGCTGCCATATCAATCATTCGTGGTGCTGTCCGGTTATCAATCACTCTGGCTACTCATGATGTACAGCTTAAGGCCTTAGACGGCTGTTCAAACTGACTACGATGTCTGTCTCCTCATTAGTATTCTGAACCAGTAGCCTGTACCGTTAGATGGGTATGTCTTGCATGTTGTCAGTCAAAACGATGAATGAAACCGCTATCCTATAGGTATACAAAGTTTCGTTCTTTTATTTTATAACTAAAAGGTCAAAACGATTAACCTACAAAGATAATCAAGTCATGAAATTATTCTATTAAATTAAGATAAAAGAAAATGGCTTTATTCTTTACATAGGGTTTCACTATTACAATGATTATATTAAAAGAGTTTCACATAAACAAAAATATTTATATTAAATACACGTTTCAACTATTCAAAACTCGTAAAAATTATGATTTGTAATGTTGATAACAATTGCAATTAATCGCAAAGTGGTATTACCCGACGATGACAAAGCACAAAAAATAAAATTCTTCATTTAAATAACTTTTTTAAAATATAGAATCATTTCAAGTCTTTCACAATTAATATAAAAGTCCTACAAGCCCTGTACCTGAAGTATACTCTATAAACTTTATATAGGACCTATAAAACTTCTTTCGGCCCACGTAATTAAGGTAGCGTTAATGATAAATGATATACTAAACCCAAAGGCCTATAATAATAAATATAAAATTTTGATAAAGTGAGCGTTTGTCATTTATTAATGTGATAATTAATTTGATGTATCCAAACTCACTGTCTTAGAACGTGTTCACGCTTAACATAAAAATCATTTATCTTTTACACTACTTTGTAATAATTTTTCATAAACAATTAGCATGAATATTTTAAATTTTGTTAGTCTTTACGGATAGGCCTACGTTTAAAATGTCATAGTTATTAATAAAGTATAAATTATTTAATTTACAATTACTTAAAGCACTTTATATTTAGTGTTTAGTTACTGCTCTAAATACCGACTAAAACTTTTTAATACAGAAATACATTATTTAATAGAAATAATAGATTCAGAATTGTTTATTTTTTTATTAATTTTGACAATTTATTGAAGAAAAATCTTTCACATAATCCAATTTTTCAATTGCATTTTATTTTCTTTTATAGTATTATTGTAAGTCAAACATGTACAAAACGATAAATATGTCAGATATAAATCTAAACATATATATATAAAGAGGTTCTATATTCAAAACTTTGTGTATTTTGATGATATTTCATGTATATATCCATCAATAGACCAGCTGATAGTAGACACAGAATGCAACATTTGGCCAAACATTTTATCATTTATATCTAATTCTATATACCACAAACTACAGCTGCTTCCCATAAATGTATAAGCTTATCAATCGTTTTTTAAATTTAAATAGAACGAATTTTCTTGTTAACTTCGTATGATGTAGCGGTGGTCTGTTTAATTTTTGATAGACTCTGTTAATAAACTATTTATTATTGAAGTTATTCTATTTTACTTATACAAGCAGACAGCTGTGTAATGTATGTTATATTATCTGTTCAAATAGAAAAACCTTATGTTCAAATATCATTTGTCATTCGAGATGTAGACTACTTGCATAAATTAAATTATTTCCTCTATTAAATTAATATAACTTTTTAATTTTATTATATTAATTTAATAATACAATTCATCTTTTATGGTTATCATTAGTTAGTTTGTATTTTTATCTATAAAAAGTTAGATTTTTTACTTTTAATAATGATCTAAACGTAAGATTTGATTGTTGATAAGTTTGTATAGTGTGAAAAATTTTATTATTATAAACTTTTATAAGTCAGACTGCTTTATAATTTAGCCATTTCTTTTTATGAATTTTCATATCTTATTAAAAATTATATTAAAATAGTTTTAAAAGACATTACTACGTGAGTTATTTACAAATTACATAACTTTTTTGAAATGATGTGTAAGTTTTAAAGTGTTGCGTGAGTTATAAAGGGTTGAATGTAGTCTATTTGCTCTATAAGCATAGTGTAGAATTTAATATTATGCTATAAGTTACATTCATTCAAATAGTTTTTTTAAATAAAAGAATAACTCTTTCATGAAAGAAATTTTAAATATATACATAATATTTTCCAGATAATTTTTTAAACTTAAAATTAAACAAAACCCTATAGTTAAAGTGTTGAATTTGTCTATGATAACACCTCAAATTATAGGTACCTTCTGGTTGTGGCCTTAGGATGAACTACTCCATTGCATATTATATTCTCTCCATAAAATTTCTTAGAATTAGTCAATGTCATAAAATTATGTTCATCTTTCTCCATCACAGAAAATTGTTGCAAAATAATAAGCACTTCTAATATTATTTTTTGGTTTTCCTTTCCTGATAATTTCTATGAAAATGGTTCAAGGTAAAAAGATGTCAAGGTTTTTGAGTTAGAAGAAAGTTTTGACTATGTTCATTACATCTTCACGAGAATTTGTTATTTAATATTTGAAAAATGTGCTATGAACCTTAGTAATACATAAAATACTCAAGAATTCTAAACAAAAAATATCCATCGAGGTGACATCTATTAATAGTCTTGATATAATTATAACTAAATAAATTATTTTAAAACAGAATAAATATATATAAATATAGAAATCCTTTCTTAATTTTCTAAAATTAATTATAATTATTAATTTATCTGTTCAATGAGTTTCCTTAAGTCATTATGTATCGAAAAATATTACATAAAATTTCCTTGAAGTAATATCTACAACATAAAGATATGAAAAATTTAATCTACTATTATTTAAATTAATGATTTTTGAAGATATATATATTTAATCTTATGTATATCTTTCACAAAACATTGTTTTAAAGGATAAACCTCGAATAATTTAAGCATTATAGACGATTTTAATTGATTATTACAGGAGTGTAGTTATTTGACAGCTCGTTGATACACCATCAGTAACCCTTGGGCCAAATTTGACCCGTAATAGCATGGTTTATATAATATAAATCTTGTCAACTTTCAACATACCTATCAGATTTGGCTCGTGATCAGGAAAATGACTGACACCCCCTAACATGAAATATTTTAGATGTTGGATATGAATTACTTTTTATATCCTAAATGATGTTTCAGAAACATAAAACATGATTAACGACATAAATGTTTATTTAAAAATTTATCTCCTGTAAATTCACTGAAAACATATTTATATTTGTCTATACGAGTTTTCACTTTCTATAACTTCTAGGTTAAAATTTATGTGACTTTTATGATTTTTCTATAATATAAATTAAGTTAATTATATATTATATGAGCTTTAACTAAATATGTTAGACTAGTTAAGTTCAATAATCAGCAAAAGTTATTGTATATTAAGAGCATACAAATGAAGAAGTTTCTTGGTTTAAATTAAAAACAAGTATTTAAAGAATGCTTCAAAATTTTTAATAAATATTTAATACGTGTTTTATAACATAAATAAACATTTACATGACAACTGGTTGTTATTTTTCATTGAGTTACGTTGTCTATAAGAACTTCATAATGAGTCTATTGTTTAAAGTAGATGTTATTCAATACATATTCTTGATTTTCATGGCATGATGTCATCAAAAATACTGTAAGTCAAGCCTAAAAAGTTTACACGATTTTAAATATAACCACTACAACTTTGTTTGTAATATTATGCAAAGTTATCATTTGATATCCTCTTCTAAAATTTCGTTGAAAGATTATTAATCTTCATTTAGAGGTTAAAGATCCCTAAAGTTGGTACTAAAAAATCGAATGTATTATTAATATATTATATAATTACTACAACTTGAATAGTTGTATTAAATTTTTAACCTTTCATTTAAAAAAATTTACTGACATATTTATAATAAAAGCTACTTCCATTGCACGAATAAATTATAAAAATTTGGTTATATATAAAGCTGCATAAAATAGAATTTTAATATACTACACTTGTTTAGTTCGGCTTAAATTTATTAGAAGAAAGTTGACTAATGTTTTGCTTATAAAATAATTATCCTGCTACAATTAAGGGCATAGAGAGCTTAATGTTTTAAATATAATTCTTCTCTTATAATTTTTGACAATGCGATTTTATCTTGTAGCTAAAGAATTGTTTTAGAAATAATCAAAGTGCCGCCGCGACTAATTTCTTAAATTTTATATCCTAAAATCAAAATATAGAGCAAACGGTGTGCCAAAACCTAACGTAAACTCCATAGTTTTCAAAAGAGTCATTGTAAGTGTTGTTTAGAAAAAAGAAACGTCACCTTGACACAGCACATTTACGGATATGTTCTAAACAAGCAAACACAATCGCTTCACTCTGATTTTCCTTTGCCAGATTCTTACGAAAGTATTTAATAAATTCTCTTATTTATTTATTTTAATTAATAAAATATTTAAACTGTAAAAATTCATCATTTTTTAAGTTATTTTGAAGCCCATCCTTTTAAGTTTAATAAGAAATATATTAAATTTTTAAAGATTTAAACATGATTTCATATTTCTGTAATTTCAAAAATCTTACCTCTAATATAATCATTTTGTTTAGACTTAAATCATAATATTTTTATCTACTTTGATATTGGACTAAACACGTGTGCATGCCAATTTACAATATATAGATATAACTATAATTTTATATAAAATTCCTCAATAGTTTGTAACCATGATAGTTTAATCAACATAGTTCTTAATTCTTAGATAGCGATTATCTTAACAAGATCGCATAGTTCTGTAGTAAATAAATGGCTAAAATGTTACATTTAACATTGTTTAGCGTAACCATAAAGATTTAATTCCTGAAATATTACAGT